CGTGTAATGGCCAACCACCAACTCACCGACGCTCACTTCAACAATTCTAGTGCTACACACAATAACAAGTGGTCCTGGTGGCTCCTTCCACCCTCCGCTCAAACTATTACTACTACTATTACTACTACTCCACTTCATACACCACCTGGCAAAATAACTTGGCGTCCAAGCTGTTAACATCAAATTAGTTATATCAAAAATCTCTCGTTAAAACCATAAATGAACTTCTTACCACCACGCCCACGCAACACCACTACTATTACCTTCTCATTAGTCTGCTTTAAGACATTTAAAATATTTTAGCCGCGATTCTGCTATTGGAAAAAAACCGTGTACGTGTGTGTGTACTCGTATATATGCGTGTGTACTCGTATATATGCGTGATGCGTGTGTACTCTTATATATGCGAGTATTTCTACTAGTGTATGTATACTCCTGTCTATATACTCGCCTATTGGTGTGTACAATATTTGTGTGAGACCCAATAATTAAAACGCTTATGAACAAGCGTATATATGTAAATGACTAGTTACTCTATAATGTGTTTGTTAGTCATTAATTTTCGACCTAGTTCAGCAATCAAAAGTTCAACACCCAGTCCCTAGACCCATTATCTAACTACGTCTGTAATCTTTTGACTAACTCACCAACTCGTCAAAATTTGTCATCCAAAGACTTCATAGATTTGTTCTACTTTCTATATAAATGCTCCTATATACCATATGTAACTATTTGTATATGCACCAATAAAATTACGCATAATCCTCCTTAAAGTTGTTTCTGTAACATTCATCAATATTCAAAATTCGTCTTAATATTTTTAAACAAATATGCAAACGTCTACATGTGCATATAAAAAGTACTTGACAGAAATACCACTTGTTACCTGGAGGTTATTCCGGGGATCAACGCCCCCGCGGCCCGGTCCATGACCAGGCCTCCCGATGGATCACGGCCTGATCAACTAGGCTATTACTGCTGGCCGCACGCAGTCCAACGTATGAGCCACAGCCCGGCTGATCCGGCACTGACTTTAGGTATCTGTCCAGCTCTCTCTTCAAGGCAGCCAGGGGTTTATTGGCAATTCCCCTAATGCTTAATGGGAGGCTCTTGAACAGTTTTGGGCCCCAGACACTTATGGTGTTTTCCCTTAATGTACCAATGGCGCCCCTACTTTTTATTAGGGGAATTATGCATCGCCTGCCCAGTCTTTTACTTTCGTAGGAAGTAATTTCTGTGTGCACATTTGGGACCATTCCTTCCAAGATTTTCAAAGTGTACATTATGATATATCTCCCTCCTGCGTTCCAACGATTACAAGTCAACTGCTTCCAAGCGTTCCCAGTAGTTAAGGTGCTTGACAGAACTTATACGTGCAGTAAAGGATCTCTGTACACACTCTAGATCTGCGATTTCACCTGCTTTGAATGGACATGTTAATGTACAGCATTATTCCAGCCTAGAGAGAAAAAGTGATTTGAAAAGGCTTGGCATCTCTCGTTTTGAAAGTTCTCATTATCCATCCTATCATTTTCTTTGCACGTGCAATCGTGGTACTGTTGTGATCCTTGAAAGTGACATTCTCAGACATTACTACTCCCAGGTCCCTTACATTATTTTTCCGCTCTATTGTATGGCCGGAGTCAGTAGTATACTGTTCTAGTTATTATCTCCTCCAGTTTTCCATAACAGAGTAGTTGGAATTTGTCCTCATTGAACATCATATTGTTTATCGTTGCCCACTGGAAAACTTTGTTTATATCTTCTTGGAGGTTAACCGCGTCCTCGGCAGATGACAACCTCATGCAGATCCTAGTATCATCCGCAAAGGATGATACGGTGCTGTGTTGTATATCTCTGTTTATTTCTGATATGAGGATAAGGAATAAGATGGGGGAGAGTACTGTGCCTTGTGGAACAGAGCTCTTCACTATGGCAGCCTCCGATTTAACTGTTAACCACTACTCTTTTGTGTTCGATTTGTTAAGAAATTGAAAATCCATCTCGCCACTTTCCCAGTTATTCCTTTAGCACGTATTTTATTGGCTATTACGCCATGATCGCATTTCTTAAATGCTTTTGCAAAGTCTGTGTATATTACATCTGCATTCTGATTTTCTTCCAGTGCATCCAAGGACATGTCATAGTGATCCAGTAGTTGAGAGGCAGGAGCGACCTGCCCTGAACCCATGTTGCCCTGGATTGTGCAGATTTTGGGAATTCAGGTGATTTGCAATCCTGCTTCTTAGCACTCTTTCAAAGATTTTTATGATGTGGGACATCAGAGCTATTGGTCTATAGATCTTAGCTATTGCTTTGCTGCCACCTTTATGGAGTGGGGCTATATCAGTTTTAAATGACTGTGGAATTTCACCCATGTCCAAGCTCCTCCTCCATAATGTACTTAGGGCACGCAAGAGGGGTTTCTTGTAGTTCTTAATGAAAACAGAGTTCCACGAGTCTGTGCCCGGGACTGAGTGCATAGGCATGTTGTCAATGGCTTTTTCGAAATCTATCGGACTTAGGCTAATGTCGGAAATCTGACATACATTTATGGAGTTTTGAGGCTCATTCATCAAGAAATCATTTGGGTCGTCGATCCTCAGACCGATTAGTGGTTCACTAAACACAGAGTCTTACTGGGATTTCAATATTTCACCCATTTCCTTGTTATCATCTAAGTCCCATCCTGTCTGAGTAAGGGCCCGATACTAGATGTGGTATTTGCCTTGTTTTTGGAATATGAAAAGAAATATTTTCAATTTCTTTCAATTTCACTAATAGCTTTAAGCTCCTCCTCCTGCCTCTCCTGCTTCCTGTAAGAGTCATTTAGCTTAAGTTCGATAGTTTCCACTTCCCTGGTCAGCGCCTCCTTTCGTGTATCAGATATTCTAGAACTCCTGAGGAGCTCAGTGACTCTTCGTTGTTGCTTGTTTCCAGACAGCTCTAATTGTAATAACACGAGAAGCATTTTGAGCCAGTAAATTAAAATTATTAATCAACAATTATCACAAACTCCCCAAAAAAATAAATCATAAAAATTGTCTCTAGTGGAATCGCTACAATACACACTTCGTATATTTCATCCTTGTACAACCCTTGTAGGTTTACCACTTTCTTTGACTATAATAACAATGTCAAACACATCTTCAAATGTATACAACTGATGATTCAGCAAAACTATATACATATACTCTTTCAAGTCCCATAATACATTACGCCCTTGGATTCTCAATTACTTAAAAATTTCAACAAACTTCAAATCGACACCATTGACTTTAGACTCGGCAACATTGACATACGACTAACAGTCACTTAGTCAGTCAATCAATCCGTCATCGTCACGCACAATAAGCCACAACTCTATAGTGCTTCCAACAAAATAAACTTTCTTTTATATCAATCAATATTACCCATCGTCTCCCGCTACGTGATAAATTATTACAAGCTGGATACCTAAATCTTCAACTACCCTGTTAATTACAATCTTGTTAAATCATCATCCAAACTGTATTAATATTCGTCCGGGACTACAATTATACACGCAATACTTTTAATCTTTACTAGTAAACTATACAATCATTATAAAAGACATCAAATTATATTCTTACTTTCATTTCTCGTAACCAAAATTATCATTTACAAAGTACCACATCACAAACTACTATCCATTACTAACATGACATAATTTACTATTATATCACAAACACTAGTATCACAACTGACACATTATCTCATTCTAACAGTTATAACACACCTCTCCTGTGTCACATTACACCCTTGTCTGACTATCTACACACACACACACACCCTACCTTCGCTACCGTGTCCACACATCCTTATCTCCATGTTATAACAAACACTTCGCGTGTGTCCACACAACTTGCATTGTCAAACACTAACAAACAAACACCCGGTGGTCTGGTGGCTAAAGCTCCCGCTTCACACACGAAGGGCCGGGGTTCGATTCCCGGCGGGTGGAAACATTCCGACACGTTTCCTTACACCTGTTGTCCTGTTCACCTAACAGCAAATAGGTACCTGGGTGTTAGTCGACTCGTGTGGGTCGCATCCTGGGGGACAAGATTAAGGACCCCAATGGAAATAAGTTAGACAGTCCACGATGACGCACTGACTTTCTTGGGTTATCCTGGGTGGCTAACCCTCCGGGGTTAAAAATCCGAACGAAATCTTATCTTATTTTATCTTACCGTTCATGCCGCCAGCCGACAACATCCAGTCGCTGCCATCACCAAACTCCGTAACCAATCAGTTAGTCACTCAGTAAGAAACAATTATTCAGTGACATCAGTAAAATTCCAATTATTCCCAGAATCAAACCAACTAAATCCAATCACTACCATCAGGAAACAATCTATGTTCCCAACAGAAAACTTTCCTTGTCAACACGAGACGTTACCTGGAGTTTACCTGGAGAGAGTTTCGGGGGTCAACGCCCCCGCGGCCCGGTCCGTGACCAGGCCTCCTGGTGGATCAGCGCCTGATCAACCAGGCTGTTGCTGCTGGCTGCACGCAAACCAACGTACGAGCCACAGCCCGGCTGATCAGGAACTGACTTTAGGTGCTTGTCCAGTGCCAGCTTGAAGACTGCCAGGGATCTGTTGGTAATCCCCCTTATGTGTGCTGGGAGGCAGTTGAACAGTCTCGGGCCCCTGACACTTAATGTATGGTCTCTTAACGTGCTAGTGACACCCCTGCTTTTCATTGGGGGGATGGTGCATCGTCTGCCAAGTCTTTTGCTTTCGTAGTGAGTGATTTTCGTGTGCAAGTTCGGTACTAGTCCCTCTAGGATTTTCCAGGTGTATATAATCATGTATCTCTCCCTCCTGCGTTCCAGGGAATACAGGTTTAGAAACCTCAAGCGCTCCCAGTAATTGAGGTGTTTTATCTCCGTTATGCGCGCCGTGAAAGTTCTCTGTACATTTTCTAGGTCGGCAATTTCCCTCAAAACTCAAGAAGTCAATTCATACTAAACTCACATTATGTATAACATCTTAACTCTCGGTGACCTTTACACAACACTTTTTAAAAAACACTGAATGTGGCCATCAGACGCGGTGAAATGTGGTAAACAAAGACGCTCGATGAGGTTGCTTCACCAGCCTCGACATCAACTAAAATGACGTCACACTGGGTATTGCTGCGTGTCTGCCTGCCAAAAATACCAGTCAGTCAGTCAACCACTTGCCAAATCGTCTCTTCTGCTTCCCTATTATATTAAAGAACAAGCGCTAAACCACAAGGGCTATACAGCACATCAAGGAAGCGTGGATATCAGGTACCAAAAAGGAATAGGATTCTGCTTTCGTAACAGTTATTATCTTAGGGGCCATGAAATCACCACCAAATGTAGGCTTTTCAATCATTATATACTACAATGGTACAAAATTAATAAATTCAAGAATAATTCCATCAAAACTACTCGACAAATGATTCATAATATACCACAGTGCTATATCATAAAAATACACTAAAGATTATATTATAATCATAAAAAGCACTAATTACGACATATAAAATATTAAAACAAATCAACAAAAACAGAATGAAAAATGTTAATAAACACGATCAGTCACCTCGTAGTGACCAGTAAAGAGCCACTGCCAACCACTCTGACTCGACCCCCTCCAAATACAACTACCAAAGTTTTCTTTCTTATATTTTATTTAAAAACTTGATGTACAATACATCAGCTACACAAAATCACAACTCCACGAGTAATACAAGTCTTCACTATACAATCCATGACGTAAGTACATATTTATAATATGGAATCATTTCCAAGTTCCTAACACTACCACGAAACAATCATTATTAAAACCCCATATTGTATCGGCCATAAGGTCGAATTGGAATAACTTCGACTCGCTAAAACCCCCCCCCCGGTCGAGATAGTATTCCTCTTCATACCATACATATAATTACCTTATCACCTATCCAGTGAAAACTTTAATTAGAAGCACATTAACAACCTTTTCAACTCTATTATATTCCAATATGCAAACTTTACTGGTATAGAACCCATGTGCCAATGTTACAATGTACACACAAAATTTACATCAATACAAAAACCACTATCAATCTAATTTTATTCTTTCATGGCCTTTTTTTTTTTTTTATTATTATTGGAGCCAAAATGTAAAAAAAGGCAGTACAAACAAAAACGTTATACCCTAACAATTAACATAAGCCATTTTACAAAACTAAAATGTATGAGCACATACATCACGATAAAATACCTGTTACCCCGACCAACCAACCCACCACATGGCTTCCAAATCAGTTATGAACCCACATGTTCATATGAGAAAAGAACTGTAAATTGCAAGACCTTGCCAGGTAGTTCAACTTGAAAGGTATAAATAAATAATGAGAAAAAACCAATTGACCAGCATAGACTATATACATTCAAAAATTATAACATTATAATGAAAATAACCCCGGTGACAGGGCTAAATATTACTCTGCAAAAGTTTGCAAGACAATGAACCTGAAAAAGGTTCAAAAATGACAAAATAGGACAAGCACGTCCCTCCCCCCCCCCCCCCCCCCCCCCCCCCCAAAAAAAAAAAAAAAATTAATATACGGTGACCACTTCAACGTTCCCTGAATAATAAGGTGTGTTCTTTCATGTACTGACATAATACAAGAAATCCCTAGATAAATGTACTTAACATGATATAATCTTGGGTACCTCAAATATTCTATATTCCAACAACAAAATTAATGACAAACCTCATGGGGTGATTGTTGTACATAAGGACAAATATAATGCAATATTTCTCTCGCACACCAATTACAATACTTAAAATAATCCCCTAAAAACGCAATGAATCACTATACTATTAGTGCTGATACCAGCACGACGTCTATATTCTACATCACAGAACAATACCTAACAAGACCCCAGGAAACACCTAACAGACTTACCACATCACAAAAATCAGCAAAAATAACAGTTACACTCCTGACCATAGTCAGGAACTAGTCCAGTTTCACAAAAGAAAAACCATATTCCAAAATATTGTTTTCTGTCTTGCTCAGATGTAATAACCACACTTAAAACAAATCAACATCTCACTCGCACAACACCATCACATCTATACACTCTCGACCGCACATAACTTACCATAACTACAAAACACGTAACTTATTAACCCACACCTTTCACCTTAACGTTCCTAACATACCTTAGGGTATTACCAAGGGACGAGTCTAACCCCTCGCTGCCTTACCTGCCTCAGTTGCAGTAACCAATGCAACTGAGTACCCCACCTCCCACCATAAAGGAGTATTTGTACAAGATGTTCTATAAATACCCACTGCAATCACCTTAACCCTAACTGCTCCCTCGGTTTCCCTCATACCCCATGAGATATATAGGAAATCACCCACCACGTACAGTATTGCTCTTCTTACCTCCCTTGACACTCCTCTAACTTCCAAAATTAAGACACCGTACACTTGAGATACTTCTCCCACTAAGAAATACTGAAACCCTCCTCAACCACGTACAAACCTCTTCCAATGTTTCACAAAAAAAAAAAAAAAAAATTCTTCTACACCGCAACGTAAATAATTCGCCTCCCTTACCAAACCCGTCCTCCTTAAAACCCATTTTTATGCTAAAATTCCCACGATAAATCTGTACAATAATTCGCAAACCCTCGGTGCCAACTTGAGCTTACAAAAACCCTCCCATATTTCCACCCAATTATACAACAGAAATACAGACACCCCCTGCACAATTTCCCTATAGCAACATATCCACACCATCTGCCACGCCCTGATCCTTTCAATATTTTTCAACTTCAACAACAAACGCAACATGTCCTCGCACTCTATTAATCCTCTGCCACACGTACGCGTGTCATGACAAATCTCCCTACTCAACCAATTATTATTATTATAATCAAGGGGGAAGCGCTAAACCCGGAGGATTATACAGTGCCTGGGGGGGGATGTGGAAGGCATTCAGGCTTAATTCGGGGAACTGGAGCACAGATCCAATTCCCTAAATCAAGAGCCCCTCACCAACATCAAGGAACCTTCCTTGAGGAGCCTACTCAACCAAGCTCTCCCGTAACCCCAAACATAATCTAAGACCCTTCTCTGCAACTCCTCAATATCCACGTCCCGTAATGGGTATACCTCACCCACTCCCCATGCCTTACTGTAATCAAGACAGTTAACCACCACTGCCCTCTGTTGAAAGGAGACATCCCCACCTCTTAATTCTCAGAGATGGTCTAAAGCCTTTTTTAACACCAATTCAAAATTTACCCTTCAACCCTCCCTCTCTTCCGCAATGTACACAATCCCACATATTTTAAGTTGCTCCACGACTGACCAACCATACATTTTGCCACCTCCCCACACCCTATCCACCTCAAATAAATTCTGATTTCAACCTGTTGACGCACATACCAGTCATGCCCCAAAAAAACTCAACAATCCCCCTACCCACAATCTGCAAATTTCCCCCTCTATTAACAAAATCGTGATATCGTCCACAATAACCGACTACACTCACTGCACAGTTACACCCCGTAGCCCACAACCAAAAACCCCCATCCACAGTTCATAAAATGGATTTTGCACACAGGCAAAAAACAGCTGAGACAAAGGCCCCCCCCTTGCCTCAAACCACATTCCATACGTGTACAAGCTGCTTAACTTACCATTCACCTGTACTCGTACCATTGCTGAGGCATACAAAATGTCAACCCATCATACTAAACCCCTCCCCAAAACACTGCCTTAATAAATACATGCCAACACTCAAAAATTTTCCAAGTAAAACCCAAGGACACCTCCCCTTTACACCCCCAAAACTCCTTTAAAACACCAATGTCCTTCCCTCATGCTCCTGCCTGGGATCCCCAGCTGTCCCCTATGAATAATTCCATAACTTTTCTCATCCTCTTACCTACGACTTTTGCAAATATTTTTGTCTGAACACATAAGAGATATAGCCCTATATGCACTCAGACCCCTCCCCTCCATGAGCATGTAATTTAATACCTCAACCAACCTTTCCTTAATGCTTCCCCAATGCGTCCTATAAAATTCATTCAATATGCCATCATACCTGGTGCTTTCCCTCTACTCGTCCTAAATATTGCCTCCTCAACCTACTCCACACGAATCCTGCCTTCTAATACCCTCCAATCCCTTTCACATATAACCTCTCTGAACCCCCCCCCCCATCAACCACCCCCATGGGCCCCCCTCCTCTCTACCAGGCTTTTCCCTCAAACCAAAACAGTATAAAATCTCATGCTGTCCATATTAAAGAGTAACTGACCGGGCAGGTATCCACCCAAACCCATGCATACTTCCAAACGCAAGAGGAATGTTGCCTGTTGTCTAACCCAAATTTTCCACAGGAAAAACCCATAGCACCTCTTCCATGCCCACCCTGATTCTAACCGCACTGAAACGATCCTTACGAATTTCGGAAAGTCCATTGCAAACGTGTTCAATGTCTTCGTACCTACTACTTCTCCCCCAAAATAATAATAGTTCAGTTGCCCCTCTAAATCATTTTGTAACCCATACCTGCACCTCACCTCCTCCTTACCCCAATTCCTATAATAACTCTCTATCCCAGGTCTGGCGTGCTTTTCTCAACCATTCCAACAAACGTTCAACCTTCCCCTCCGCTTTTCCCCAAAGATCCTTCCCCCAAATCCTAAAAGTGCACCCATCCCCCTCCCCATCCAATAACTGGGATAAATCCGTATCATTCCATCCAAGTCCAAATCCGCTAGCACTGCACGGTAGTCTCAAAACCCCACATCAAAGGTCTGTACGCACCCAACTCAAATTCCCTGTTACACAAGTTCTATCCAGACGGGCCACGTAGCCTCTGCGGACCAACGTGTGATCCCCCCCTCCCACACGTGTGGTGTGAATATAATACAAATAATTCATAGTTTACAAGTTAGTTAACAGCAAGTGCAGGATTGCTAAAACTCTTGTCCACAGGGCTCAGAAAGAGTTGTTGACATGATTTGGACATCAGAGAATGAAACAAAACTGACTTCTACAGTCTATAAATCTGTAGTGGAGGGAAAACGAGGTACGAGTCACCCT